AGGGGGATATTATCATCGAAAAGAATATCACATCGAAATTATTTAATATGTAGAGTATGTTAATAAGTTTGTTATGCTTAAAACAGTACGGATGTGTTTAAACAGTCTACTAAACAGTGTATTAGATTATTAAGATAATTGTTAATTAATCGTCGAAAATGTATATTGTAATCCAAAAGCACGGATTTTGCTTTCGATGTTCTTTTCTCTTCGAAATCTTCTGTTAGACTTATACGTTGTTACATAAAAAAGTTTTCACTATCGAAAGTCCTAAGTTCCTATCGAAGTTCCTAATGAAAGGTCCAATATCGGCACGGGTTTCTGGTTGTATTCGTAGATGTATCTTGTCCGAAACGAGCATAAACGACCGTGAGTAAAACCTTTGGTTTTGTTTGAGTATCAAATTGAATACATGTTTGAAAAAGAAGAATTTTATATCCACTCATAAAATTATTTCAAGATATACAGAAAAAAATGTTCTAAAAACGTGGAATTTTTTTTTTTTCTAGACATTATTTTAATTCATTGTTATTTTGTTATAAGAAAACAGAAATGCATTTTTATTCATCTTCATGTAATAAAAATTGTACGAAAAAAATTGAAATTTTGTAAAGTAACACGCTAGCATAAGTAGTATCGGAAAAGAAAAGATAAATAATTGCCTCACGAAGAATCGAACGGTAACTACACGCGTGAGAAGCATGGAATTATGAATTATGTATTTTAGGAATTTAAAATGTCAGAGCGTGTGTGTCAGGGTCTTATCAGGGTTTCGTCACACATGCGCTCTCCTACGCACACGCGCTCTCTCTCATACACGCTCTCTCACGCACACGCGCTCTCTCACGCAAACGCGCTCTCTCACGCAGACGCTCTCTCACACATGTAGCGAATTTTTTTGCAACACGACCGTGCTAAATTGCGAATTGTTTTGCGAATATCGGGGATATCAGTCATTTCATGAAATAACTGGTTTGGTATTTCAATTTCCTAAAAAACGTTCTCAATCAAATAATTTTACCTTGGAAATCACCACTGCGCAGGAGCGGGTAAATAATTTCATAAAAAATGATTAAAATGCTCAAATCAGAATGTTACTATTTTAAATTTTATTGATTTGCTGTAACATTCTTTTTTTACACCTGCGCAACATTCAGATTTCATATAAACAACTTTCAATAAAAGTAAATTTCTAGAGGGCAATGACTCAGTCTAACAGGAGACTTTGAAGAGGACAGTACATAGATCATATATTCCAAGCTTTTTAACAATAATAGACAATTCTATCGATTAATTAACAATTACTTTAATACTCTAATGCACTCTTTTTATATTACAGCTTTTTTTAATACATATGTACTGGTTTAAATATTACATACTTATTAACGTACTATAAATAGAAAATAGTTTTAATAAATGTTTTATTTTATGTTTCTTTAGATGACTTTTTTAAACTTAATTGCGTTACTGAGCCAATACATTAACATAATATTTTCCGATAACTTATATTATTTTTTAAACAGTTCTCGGTTAAACTTTAAAGTGTAAACATTGATCCGTTTTTTATATATATATACATATATAGAATACTACTACTATGAAAGATTTTGCAAGACACTGCTCTTATTTTACCTACACTTTTTATTAGCAACTAAATGAATGCGGATTGTTAAAACGTACGTGTTAAAACAATTCGAAATATAAGGAGAATGTCTTAGAGTATTAAAATTTCTTGGATAAATAAGTAATAGGCGAGTACTACGCGAAGGTGTTAGAAGGAGAATGCGAGTACTCTATGACTCTATTTTATTTCGGGAGCAAATCCTTAAAATTGACAATTAAAATATAAGTGTCCATTTGGTTATTGAAATAATAATTATATTTTATTGGTTAAATGATTATATATAACTGGAGTTTTATATCTATAACATTGACGATAAGAGATAACATCTACAAATAAATCCATTAAAATAGTACATTTACTGTATTATATAATCATAATGGTTTTTGAGTAAACTGGTTCTTATCTTAAGATTTTTCGATACCTTGTGAAAGCTGGAAAACACCGGTTAGGTAAAAAATGTGTATCTTTTGTGTCCAATTAGACACTTGAATTAACGTTTATGGCGTTGTTACGGAAGTTCTGACCTATATGATAACAGGAACAAAAAAAGTATAATAATTTTTGTCTACGAAAAGATTATCGTCTATGGGAAATAGTAAAACTATAAATCTATGTAAATGAATGGCTAGCATTAGCACAATAGCTATAACACATTGCGAGCGTTAGATAGATTTTGTGAACCGGTTTGTTGATAAATCGAATTTCGGCATTACTGAAAACGTCGTTATGCATGTATACGTGTGTTATTTTGGTTCTTACTTATTTATTCCCATAACTTTAAAAATAATGTAAGATTTATTTTATTTTCATTTGAATAAAATATAAAAGGTAATAATATTGACTTAATCAATAACGCTTAACAGTGATGTTAACCGATTTTGGTATAATCATTTTAAGAGATAGAATGGTGAATATCTATAATCTATTGTCGCGTAAACTAAAGAACTATCGCGGAATGCCCGAATATGGAATGCGCCGTCCGGTCCCCTCCGTCGCCTCTTTCATCACTTCCTGGCATTCCTTCCAGAAACCTCTCGATAATTCTCCCTCATAAACAATGGATCTTTTCCGTACTTCCGGAGCGAGACGGTGTAGTCTTACTATCTAAACAAAACATATCTACAGGAACGCTTTCTTTCTTTTTCGTTCCACGCTACAATCTCGCACACACTCATACCATCACACATGCACTCCTTTGTGGAAAACTTAAACACTATGGTCACACACTTCTAAGATATTCTGTATCCCCACAATGATAAACAATGAAAATCAATTATCTCAGTGGTAAAAGCTTATCGTAGGTTTATTGAATTCGGAATTATCCGAAGACGGAAGTTTCGCAGAATTTCTCAAGGATCCATTTTTGATTTTATTATATATTCTTTGAACACAAAGTGTAGGAAAGTGTAGTAAAGCTTGAATAAATAATCTTATTAGTAACCTTGTAACGCGTCGGCAAAGATACTTCTGTAGAATTTGACAAGGCTCTTTCTCAAAGTATCGATGACAAATGTTTGTTTAGTGATATTTGCATCTGAATGAATCGCTCTCTGTAGGACGTTAATCTTCGCTTAATAGAACAGAAAGGACATGGAAACAAAAAATACAACAAAGATTTTATTAATCTCAGTGATATTAATTAATAATTGAAATTATAAATGTCCCCAAATGTAAAATTTGAATTCCACATATATAGAAAACGTATCGTCCAACTTTTGGATATATTTTCATTCTCGTTGAAATAGTAAATTTATTGTCAATATACTAGGATTAATTACTACCACTATTGTTTGAATAATAACATAGTTTAACAGAGTTTAACACATCGCGAGTCTATCCTGTATATAATTGTTCATATAATTATTCATATTTACTTTCTTAAATAATCATCTTGTGCAATGTACTCTCTACACGATCGTAAAAAAATGAAAAAAAATGTTCGCTCGAAGAAATGCGAAAGAAATATTAAAGATAAGTAGAATATTACATAGGATAGTATATAGATAAAGTAAATAAAATACTCGAAGATTGTGGCAACTTATATATAATATCCATTGGCACTTGTGAAACGATAAATTTGTGGAAAATAATCAATCCATACTCCTTTGCACACTCCTCTGCGCACTCCTTTTTTTTTGTTCGAGGACATTTGGAGGTATTAAATAAACTATAAATCTTAAGGTCCCATCACTCAAAGTCCATTTGGACTTATCAGGACAACTCGGTTGTCCCCGAGTACTTCCGTACGGAAGTGTCAGCCAATTCGCAGGTGGTGGTGGTAGCGGGCATTAGCTCTTCCGATGAGTATAAAGACAGAAATCATCGGCGTATATTTGTTAGTCAGTTTTATATCTTGTCAAGTCTAAAACATTATTTTCTGCTAAAAGTTCAATTAATAGACTATTTGAAGAAATACAGGATGAAAGATCCGTCATGTATAATAATCGCGTTAGCAATCGTTTTATCGACAAGTTTGTCGTTTGCTTGGCCGTATAGACGTCGAGATGTCTCTGACAATTCGGTGGATAGTCCAGGCGGCGGCGGTGGCGGTCTCGTATCTCGTTTGCAATATCTTGGGGAAGCAGCATACGGTCTTCCAAGTAATGTGACGGGTTTAAAAGTGGCTAACTGGCACGAAGGAATGTCAGTTAATCCTGAAGAATTGGGTAATTACGCTGAAGGAGATATCCTTTTTCCACTTGGAACGAGTAGGAACGGTTTGAAAGCAAATGCTGCTAGGTGGCCCAATGGTATTATTCCTTACATGATCAGTCCTTATTTTGGTAAGATTCTGTTAAATCTGTTTGTTTGAGAGCTGAGCTGCTACTACTACTTGGAGCTTTAGCTACATTGAATACATTCGTATTCGCATTTTCTAGATGAAAGACAACGTAAACTCATTTATCAGGCTATGGAGGAATATCACAAATATACATGTATCAAGTTCAAGCAATATACCGGCGAGGAAAATGATTACATTAGAATCACAGCAGGTACTACCGGTTGCTGGAGTAGCGTAGGTAGGATAGGTGGGCGGCAAGATGTGAATCTTCAGGTGCCAGGATGCGTGACCAAAAAGGGTACCGTGATTCATGAATTCATGCACGCTATTGGCTTTTTTCATGAACAAAGTAGATACGAGCGAGATGAATACGTTACTATCATATGGAAAAACATCGTTAATGGTAAATGGAAATAAATCAATCAATAAATGGTTCAATAAATGGATCAATAAATGGATCAATAAATGGATCAATTGATTATTTACTGTCGATTAGGCCACGAAAGTAATTTCGAAAAGACATCGAGAGAAATCACTGATGCCTTCGGTGTTGGCTATGACTATGGCAGCGTGATGCATTACTCCGCCTATGCATTTTCCAAAAATGGAGAAGCAACTATAATACCAAAAGTAAGTAAGCTTTTTAATCGAAATCATCATGCACAAATTTCACCTATAATATTCTATTATTACATCGTATATGCATAGTATTCCTTAATTTCATTGACACGCGTATTAATATATAATAATATATAATAATATAATATATTTTGTATGAATATGGATATGTATATTATAATGAATATGTGAGGAAAAAAAGAAAGTTTCATTAATTATTGATGAACTTTCATGTTATCGGTTCATATCGATTAATGGTGTATTGGTGTTGGTCACTCGCATGCGTTGGCGTATGTTTTGTAGGAACCAGGTGGTCTTTTGGGTCTTATCGGAGAAATCTTCCAGGGCAAAACCAAGGTTGAACTTGGACAACGAGAGGGACTTAGTAAACGAGACATTCAAAAGATTCGCAGAATGTATCACTGCAATAAACGCAGGCGTAGTCATAACTGATATTTTTTGTTCAAATTGTATGTGATTTTTAAAATGATCTAATCTAAATGATAATCTTCAATTGAGTATCGTCGTGTAATTGGATCATTGATCTCAGGTATATTTTTAATTCGCACAGAGACAAGTAGGTATTTTTACTTTCACTCTCTGTCTGTTTTCCTTATATGTATATTGTTACGTATATATTTTACTTATACATTATTTAAGTAATAATAATAAAATAATGCATTTTTATAAAAATGGCTTGTCATATTTTCATTTCTTTTATTTATACGCTCGTTTTTTACTCAAGTTTCTATCCTCGAAGGGAAAGTAAATCAAAGCGAAATGAATTAAAAATGAATTAGGAATTAGTTTCGTCTAGGAGAATTTATATTCGGGAAAATAAAATGATAAAACCAGCGCAACATTAGAAGAAAATATTATACTTACGATTAGAATTGTTTTTGATTTGATAAAAAAGTTCAATCGATAAAAATTCGATGATTGAGAATATTCGTGTCTATCAACAATAACCATCCGTAACGTTGATAACCACTCAACCGATCCACGTTCTTTTGATAAAATCAGCTGCCCTTTCACCTATCATAATGGCTGGAGCATTCGTATTGCCGGAAATGACTTTTGGCATGATGCTAGTGTCGGCTACCCTAATACCTCGTACACCCCTTACTCTTAATTGATTATCTACGACAGCAAAAGGATCATCTTGTGGACCCATCTTGCATGAACCAGCCTGATGATTTTCAGGAGATGTGTCGTGTTTCACGGCACATTCCCAATAAGCATCGCATCCAAACTTCAAATGTTCACAATTTTTAACCGGTGTACGATCCAATTGGAAAGCATATCTGTAAAAATGAGAAAATGAAATGTAACGCGTTAGGAAATATTTCATGTGGATAAAAACATGTAATACGTACCGCCTCAAAGCTTGGGTTTCCGATAGTCTAAGGGAGAACTTAATGGCTTCAACTAATCCAGCTATGTCGTCTGGGTGAGACAAGTACTTTGGATAGATCAAAGGTTTCGATAGAGGGTCGCTGTTGCGTAAACGTAGATAGCCACGGCTCTTAGGATGCAAATAAGTGGGAATAATGTAAATGGTACGATTTGTCCCTTTCTTCTCCCCTACCATGCCTGTTTCGGCACAATCCGCTAAATAGCCACCAAATATAAGCTGAACGTCTGGATGATCTTCTCTCGAATTAGCATATTTCGTATTGATCATTGCGGTTACCTCCGATATACCTGTTTTATCGATAATAGCCTATTATTAATTACGGATCTAACAAGAAATTACACATTTTCTAACTTCTTTTTTGAAGTATTATTAATTTCTTTTTCTTTTTCTTTTTCTTTGTCTTGTGAAAATAAAAAAATCAATCGGTACTAATGAACTTATCCCTCTAACTATTTCTTTCCAACTATCGATTTGTCTCGAGGCTACATTACGTTCCGAATACCTCGAATATGCTCGAGGGTACGGTATATACGCGGAACACGAGTACAAAAATAAGTGAAAGATTAAGTAAGTTGCCAATAAGGGATTAATTAGAGGACATTTTCTTTTGCTATGCTAACATTGCATTGCATTGCTCGATGCATTGCTCGATGCATTGCTCGATGCATGCTACCGTATAACACCAAGGCTTGCTTTTCTTTCTATTTTATTAAATTCCATTCCTATTCGTTGAACCAATAGCCGTAAAATGCGTGAATAAATGATGCAATTTTTTCGATCTAATTAAACGCGCCAATTATAGGAGAATGTTGAATTACGAGCCGAAGTTGATGCGATCATTCCGATAATGAACTTTCTCGTGCATTGCGTTCTTCCGCTACGTTTGTCATGGAGCGTGACCAATTCAAAGATATAAGTATTATAATAACTTCGGTTTAATGTTTTACGATCAAATTAATGTTCGTCGATGAAAAGCTTTCCGATATCATTTCTCATAATGCTTGAAATATTCTAATATTCTCATTGACCTTTTTGTTATCTTTTTATGGAACGTAATATTTGCGCTTACTAACGTTGTAAAATATTTCTACTTGATGCAAAGCTGAACTTAGAACCTTTTACGTGGGTAGTAGTAACTCGGTGAAAGCAATATTATGTCATGGTCTTGATCTTACTTACATTATATATGTCTCTGCACTTGAAACAATCGAAATATTTACGTACAAGTTTATACCCCCCGAAGATTCAAATCGAAAAAATGATTTAACATTCGAACATTACAATGGTTATTAGCGTTACTAATGATTATTTTTTATTATAAAAAAAAAAAAATAAAAAAGACAGAAAACGTTTTACATTCACTATGAATGTAACGTCCTTGAATTGTTAAGGATTTTCAAATCGATCAAGCATAGGAAAAAGGTCGACGCGACGAGTAATGGAGATGAAATATGACTTCTCGACAGCAAAGTGTGATAGTTAGTCGTGTGAAATTCATTGAATCGAAACAGAACAGAACAGAACATTCGAAACTAGGTAATAGACTAGCGAACGTAGGACACGTTTTTTTCCTTTTATGGATTTTGGAGATAGTCGAAGTGCTATTAAGTATAATGTAAAGTAAACAACAAAATTGCTCCCTTAAAAAGTTATTAAAAATTAATCGATTTTCGTATTAACAAACTATAAATATAACGAAATATAACTTGAAAAGTGTTACATCACATCGCGCGGATCGACAAATACAGAGAAGAAAAAGCAGAGAAGGATAATTGTGCAATAAACTTTCACTAGACTTACACGAAGCCGGCTGCAGCCGGCAACGATCCCATAAGAGATGTGTAACCAACGCGACCAACGATTCGCTTTTCTTTATGTGCGTAAGAAAGGTTCATTCAAATATTTAATTATTAATTTACCCGTGCCAGACATGAGTCCGTCTCTGAAAAGTAAGTATTCCATTGCCGTAGCCCAGTTAAGCGGAGTGGTATCGGTGTCGTTGATCGTGAAAGTCAATGTGTAGGCAACGTGATTGTGCAGATTCTTCCCAACTCCAGGAAGATCATGAATTACGGGTACACCGACGGCATTCAGTTCATCTCGTGGCCCAATGCCACTGTTCAAAAGTATCTGAGGTGAGTTGACGGCACCTTTGTTAGACATAAAAAGGATAATAATAATGATTATATCATTACTATTACGAGAGATATAATTGTGTTCTAGCAATGAACTGTTGTACTTTGCATCGCGGACTGTAATTTAGATTTTCAAGGACGTAATCATATCTCGCGATAATAAGTTTAGTCTAAAGTTAAGTAAATTGTAGGGAGTGTACGCTTAATTGAAGTATATTCTCGAGAAATACAGGGTTGGCAATAAAAAAGCAGGATCTCTCGTTGGAAGATCGAAGATTGGTAAGAAGGAATGTTACCTCCGCTTACAACGACTTCCTTCGCGACGGATACTCGATTCAACTTCCCGTCATGAATGAATTCCACGGCAACTGCTCTCTTATTACCGTCCAAGATAATCCTCGTTGCCGTCGAGTTCAACATGATGTGGAGATTTGGACGATTCCTAGCGGGACGAAGGAAGGCCCGAGCCGTCGAAAGTCGAGAACCGTTTCTCGAGGTCGTTTGCGCTATGGCAAATCCGGTGTGCGTTCGTCCGTTCAAATCCACCGTGTCGTATCCTATAGCAAAAAATAACAATTCGTTGCGCGTAAAGTAATGTGTCACAAAAAATGAAAATTCTCCTTGTCAATAATAACCAAGTTCTTTTCCAGCTTCGAGGAGGGCAGAGCTCAAGGGAGGATGATAATGGAATTGCGTAACCGTCAGCGGTCCTCCAACTCCGTGATAACCGATATCCATATTGTATACTTGTAGATTATCTTCGCTTTTTATAAAGTACGGTAAGACATCCTGATAAGACCAACCAACGTTGCCCATTCTGGCCCAATCGTCGTAATCCTTTCTAGAGCCTCTCATATAGGTCATTCCGTTCATAACGCTAGTACCTCCGAGAACCTTCAATTGTAAATAGAGATAGATATTTAAGTATATATGATATAAAACGATAGATAGATATATATATAGGTACTATTAATATATGTGAATAGCTAAACTAATCTAGTATTAAAACTAGTCGATATAATGTAAATGCACAACGAGTAATAGCCTGTTATTTCATAAGTTAACAGATTTTACGCGTTAGCATATATATAGAAAAAGTGTATTTTTTTGTTGGAGAATGTGATAAAATTGTACTTTTCCTCTTGGCCAATAACATTTCCTATCGTCTTTATTCAAACACGCTTGATCCTCGCTCTCTGTCGTATATTGCCAATCGATGTCGCTACCGAGAAAATTAAAGAAGAACGATGGAATTTGTGTACCGGTTGGCTCATCTAAGCCAGCTTCTAACAATAATACAGAAAATCTTGGCTCCTCTGACAATCTCGCTGCTACTGCTGCTCCGGCACTACCTCCTCCTATCACCACGAAATCGTATCTAAAAATAAAACGTTTCTTTATTATTACATCATTGAGCAGAGAATTTGTCAATCGAGTAATCGGTTATGATCGTATTTCTTCATGAAACGTGAACACGAAATTATGTTTAACGAACAATTGGATTAGTTCCAACCGAACGAAAGGTGATTTTCTCATGACTTTGGTAAATCCGATCATCCCGAGTGGTCACGGAATATTACAATTGAGTGCAATAGTACGCGTACATGTACACGCCCACGCCCACGTGTAATCAATTGTATATCTACAACCAATGATATATTTTTACATTCGTACATTACATCACAGCCTGAACGTAAGGGATAAATACAATCTTGAACTTAAAACACGCATTGCATAAAAAGTGTGATAATCCAAAGCAATATCCACTTTAATAGCTCGTTAGAAAAAATCAAAATGCGATCTACGAATTCGTTTAATTAAGTTCAATTACTGTTTATTCCAAGTCTGTTTAACAAGTCTAGCAGATGCTTCAATATTTCCAAAAAACTGCTACTATATTCCGTATTAAATTACTGGTTCGATGTATCGTTTCGACGTAACGTAAGAAGAGGCTTATCTTGACAATATGCACGCGAAAAAATATCATGGATGCTTCTTACTTCCGAGAGACTAATGTAAGAAAAGAAAAATCAAGAGAGAGAGAGAAAGAGAGAGAGTTATTATTGTGTCTATGTCGTGTATATTATGTCTCGTTATTAAAAGAAGATAATTTCCACAACTAGCATTACGTAGGAACAGTACTAGGTGACAGTAGATTTCATCTTTGTTGCGAAATCTCTTTAAAGTGTCCTTCATTTTCCTTTCTTAAGATTTTTCGAAAAGAAAAGATATGGAAGCTAGTTGAATATAATTAAAAAATAATTTGCTAATATATTTTTTGCAAATAAGTTTGTATCAATGTACAAAATGAGATAGTTAATGGTAGCCTTCTTTTAACGAGTCGTTATCTGGCGATAACGCGATCAACTATTGGATAACTCTCTTTCGCACGTCTTTGACCCAAATCCCAACTATAGTATAGCATTTAACGGATCACAATTATCGGCTTGCCTCATATTCACGTTTTTCGGAGGTATAGGCCTGTTGCAAGGATCTTCAAGGTCGCACTGACTTCGCAGAAACACTTCTAGAAGACCCATGAACAGCATGAACGATGGTCCGCCACAAGTGGATGCCAACGTTGGCCCTGTGGCCGTGGTCAAAGGGCAGTTACAGCTCATCTGTAATATCATTACAAGCATTAATAACTTATTCCTTGATTAATATTCTTATTCTTTATCTTGTTTAGATTAGAAGTGAATGATGAACGAACAGAGAACACAACGAATAAGAAGAACCTGAAGTGTTGAAATGACATACATTGAAATGTATTTTGAAATACAGTGAGAACTGTCAAGATGTAAAACACCAATTACTTATTCAATATGACTTTATCTTATGTATTGATTTTGATAAAAAGACACGTAGCAATTCTCATTGGTTCCATTGGAAAATAAATGACCCGATAAAATTTGTTACCTTTTTTCGTGGTTTCGCGGTCTCGCGCAGAACGAATCCCGTGGAAATTTTCACTTTCTCGTGCGGTAAAGAATTCGAAGGGAAACTCTGATCCCCCTTTGTACGTTGTATACGATCTCTACGTTATGTAACATTTTTACAAACCGAGTTTCCTCTTCCTACAATTCTCATTGTCAGATATTCCGATATATCCTGAGCCTATTCTACAATATTTCGTGTCTTTTCATCGAGAGTTTATTTTCATTTTCTATATGTTTGTATTTATCTCAATTAAGAACTTTTGTTTTCTCTTAATTGTTCACCGTCACGGTTGACAATAATTATATGTTAGACGTAATGCGAATATGTGTCGTCGTGTACAAGACCGTTACGTTCACTGACCGAGAACTGCACCGGGTCTCTTACTGTTGATTACAAAAGTCACGCAGTTTCGCACTTTCTTTTAAATATATTGTATCCTTTGGGAATATTTTTTCAATTTTTTTCTTCTTTTCTTTATTCCAACAAGATAATTACCAAATTCTTTCTAATTCCATGTTCTTATAATATAAATTTGTTGTCCTTGAGCTTAGAATTGCCACAAAAAGTACAATATGCCCTCACTGCCCTCAATATGCCCTGATGAATTTTCTAATTGTTAAGATTTATATGGGTAAAGTAAAGAAAAAATGATGAAGTATCCTGTCATGAAGCGCAGCCAAAAGTTAACTACTTTTTTCATGAAAGAAGTTAGTTTTGCTGTGGTAGCAGCAAGTGTACAATCAACAGTATGTCTTCATATGTATATTCAGTATGTCTACTTATGCAGATATATATGTTAGAGATTGAGAAATGACTTATTTCGGTTACTGCAGGTTTTCTACAATCTAATATAAAAATGCATCTCCGAATAAAAAAAGAAGCTTTCTTCTCTCGAACGATTAAATAAAACTATTTAAATACATTTCAAAATGAATATCTAATCAAGTTAATGTTCTCAATAAACGTCTAAATATTTTCTTGTATCGTTTATATATAAAAGATCACGATACGAGGATGCAGGAGAATGTGTAAAAATAGTTGGATAAATCGATGAAAAAATTTCAAGGTAAAGGTGTGTTGACCCTCCGGTTGTTTAATGCCAAGGTATGCAGTGAAACGAGTTAATAATTAATGCGACTAAATTCAATTTTAAATACGACTCGCTATTCGGTATTGACTCTCTCTCTCTCTCTCTCTCCCCCCCACCCCCACCCCTGTAAGCAGAGTGAAAGAAGAATGTATAAGAAAAAATAGGCGCTCACCTTTAAGTCGTTTCAGACGTGTTTTTTATCGGCTATATAAGAAGCCGATATTCAAATGAGTTTACACACACTATCGAAGGAGGTTTAATTTGAAGGATATAATATGAGCCTTTTCAGCGACACTATCGAATCGAAGAAAATCGTGGCTCACGGTGGCACGATCGAGAACCGACTAGACCGGTACCATTCCCATCGCGCCCGTAATATTCGACAACTTCCACCTCCTTTCTGCCTTCTGCTTTCTGCCTTCTGCCTTCTGCCTTCTGCCAATCCATGGAAATGTTTCCAGAGACTGCAAATGGAAGGTATGCTTGTTCTATCCTTTACGAACTTACTACGTGGACGGAATTTCATTTCTTGCCTCGCGGTTTTTTCATCTTTTTCATTACGATGTCTTCGATTCCAAATACGATTGAAAACGTTCACAACTTATAATGTATTGCACAATACTTTTATGATCGATTTGGAAATTATTTATATCAACGATCACTTGCCGATATTCATTTTTCTCTTTATCGTTAGATACTCACATTTTTGGTTTTATTAATATATCATATCTACTAATCTCTCTGACCTGAGATGAGAATTTTTCAAACACGACTATGTAATAAAATAATGTAATGTAATATATCTAAACAATTCGTGGAAAAGTTGGTGGGAAAGTTTCAAGACCGCTGTTATATACATATCGACGAGTTTATTTTGCTTACAATCATTCAAAAACGAAATATTAGTAGCAGAAATATCTTAAGGAGAATGTATATAGTAGCAATATGTATATAGATGAAAGTTACATTACGATTGTGTCAGTGAAATATTCATTATGCCCGCGGATTCTTTTTCGGCGACTGGATGATTTAACATACTTTTATTATGCTCCAGGCAATAATACTACGGATTTGGAAAGATCCGTTCGAGACACGAGCGAGCATCTGCTAATCAAAAATTCACATTGAATAAATATATAAATCGCGAAAAGAAAATACTTTAATCGATTGAAAACATTTCGTTCTACGATTTCGTCAATATCGTTTAATTTTAAGTAATAAATCGTACCTATTAACTATCTCGTAGAACAATCATAAACAATATAATTAATAATGTGAAAAACGTTAATTCCATATATATATATGCATAATTAAAGTTACATTTGTGACCTACTGTAAAACATAAGGCGGATAAAAAATAATGCTTAAATAATAATGTCTTTCAGTTATTTAATACTCGTATAATAATATATAATATAATACACAGCCTAATATTGAGAAAAAAGCAATAACGAGCTAAATCTAAGGGTTTTACCCTATTACGTAAAAAATGAAGATGATATATCTCTATGAAGGGAAAAAAAAAGAAAAGTATCGAATAAACTCTGTTATTTAACGTTTGTCTACAAAATAAGCATCTCTCTTTTTTCAAATGGTACAGAAGAGAGGAAAATGAATTACGATCAAGAGGCAAGTAAAAAAAATATAGCTCATAGCCATTATCCTTGAATTTCTTTTTATAATTTCATTATAATTGGGGGAGAAAGAAAAGAAACTAACAAATTATTATAATTTTTGATCGAATCTTCTCATAAACGATCGCAACTTGTTTTTGCATATGCATTTTCGCGTTTACTGCACAAGGAAAAGGTAAAATACGAAATATGAAAATATGTAATAAAATCAACAGAACAATCAAGATCGTATAGGAAAGAATTTAATTTCTGATTTGATAATATAAAAATATTATTCCTCTCCACGAGTAAAGAAAAAAGGAAAAAAAAATCGGCATTTTCCTAGTAGAAAAAATGTTAGAAAATGCAGTATGCGTGCGCAAGTAAGGAAATCTTTGTAAAATGGTAATATAATCGCGTGAGCTTCGACGATGACGGACTTCCGTCGGAGTTTGACGTCAGAGTTTGACGTCAGAGTTTGACGTCAGAATTTAACGTAAGAGTTTGACGTTGGAGTTACATTAATGCGAATTTATGTTACATTAAATGCAAATATTCATTCTACTTTCTTAATTCGTAACTGCAAGAGTCCCGCTAAAACGCTCGTGAAACCGGCATTGTAGTCGAGCGTCACTTCCGTGTAAATATATTCTTCTCTATGATCTTGAAACTTGTCGGCCTCGTCGGGTCCAGATACCAAAGCACCGTAAAGTATTTGAGGATTAGGTTCTTGCCTATCGAATTCTGACCAGCCACAAGGCATTGGTTTGTCTGGACAGGAGGAAGCTGCGTGATGCGGCTGCGCAGGTGGATTATTTCCATATCCAACCACGTAACTTCTCCCTAATTCGTTATAAAAATGCATTAATTTATATATCATGAAACTTGTTGTTGTATTGACTTACCCTTGTTGCCTAACATATAGGAAATTTGGTCGGTTGCAAATTGACGATATTCCTGGGAATCACCGATATTGGGATAATCGGCAGCTTGCAGACAAACAAAGGCCACATTTGCAGCATGGCAAAGGGTACCGAATTTATCGATATATAATAACCCTTTGGGTGTACGCTTTTGTTGTCTAACGGAAAAATCGCAAAAAGCGCGCGCGGCATTTTGATATTCCGATTGGCCGGTCAGTTGAGCTAACAGAACCTAGAAAGCGGAATGGATGGCTGTGTGCCAATCGAATGATTAATTATCAACGCGGATCTTACCTGGACACCGGCAACCTTTTTATTATAGAAAAACTCGTTTGGCCTTTCTTTAAGATGAAAATGTTGATAATGATGCTCGGCATCCTCGAGGTACCTCGAGTCGTTGGTTGCTTTGAAGAGCCAAGCCGCGGCCCAAGCCAACTCATCCCCGTAATCTGTGCTTTCGTAATATTGCGCTGCTCCACGAATAGCACTGTGATAAAGCCCACGATATTTGTTAGCAAAATTATAAAGCTCTTTCGCATGCTTCAGACAACGTTCGCTGTAATCTGGATAAACGTTTTTGAAGACGATACTGGATGCTGCAAGTGACGCTGCAGTTTCCCCAGCTAAATCGGAACCTTCGTTAGAAAAATGTAGGACAATTAAGAAAATAATAATGACTAACTCGTACAACTCGTATTTAATAAACGTACCAGGATGATCAGGATCGATTTTGTAAACTGGCCTCGTTGTATTTAATTCTTCTGGTCTTCCCCAATACGCGTGATCGACGGAAAAGTCTCCGACTTGTCCGTAAAAGACATACTCGCTTACGTGGCATTTGATGAAATAGTCAGTAGCCCATTTAATAGCTTTGCGAATTTCGTCGAGTTGACCGGCCTCGACGTAAGCTTCCGGCCAACTAGCAGCTCCCCATGCTAAAAGGGTTGTCGTCGATGCCATTGTGAAACCAAATTTCACGAAATCACCAGCTGTCGATTATACGAGAAAAATATATTTACCAAATGATGCCCTAAATTTAAAAGAAAAAAAAATCACTTATAAATACTTACATATTTTAATAAGTCGATACTTAATATTGAAGAAAAATTGTAATCGTTTAGTTGTTAAATCTACGATTTGGAAGTTATTTTACTGACGTACACTATATTTATGTAAAGATACGCGTGTTAAGGTAAAAGCGATAATTGAATTTCAGTTAATCGCACGTTTCTTCGAATACGTCGACGAATGGGATAATATAAAAATTGGATCGCGTACTACTCACCGTCGTAATAACCACCCGTAAGATCCTCGCCATTGATTCCATGATCGGTCAACGCGGAGTCACCTCTCCAGGATATTCTGTTGTCTTCCGGAAGTTTACCAGATCGTTGCGCTTCGTAGAACAATAGAGAGAGCTCTAGAACTCGAGCGTAATCGCCCTCACCTTCGATTGGTTTCACGAAGGCCACCGCCGCCGGATTCCTGCCACCACCGCCGCCGCTCATCTTTGTAATCGAGGCCACGGATGTTATCGTTAAGGCCTGTAATAATTTCATTGTTTTTTATTATACGACCATTTAACCCGATAAATATTATTTATATCATTACACTCTAATCACATCGAGTTTCTTTCCTATATGTGTCGGTAATTATAATATACATATATTAAGGCAAGATTTGATATCGATAGATGTTGTGTTAGGTAATAAATCATAACGTTTGTTCGTCTTTAAAATATGCGCCAGCTATCTCCCTCCCTTCCTCCTTCTTTGCAGTTCAAAGCGTTGACATTTTTTCAGCTGTCCAAGACGACACGTGCCTTGTCTCTTTCGAAAGAAACTCTACGTGTTCTTTCCAATGGGGTTTCATCGCAATACCCTTCTTCGAATAACAAGCGATGCGTTTTACCTGCGATTTTATCGAAGTCAAAAAAACACCTTACCACGGTTTGTACAAACTGAATATCTCTTTCGACAAGCTCGTTGGAACCGATTCTCTTTATTATCGAGTGCTAGGAATTTGCCTTTATTATCAATTAAATGGATAATCACATTTTATTTTTCAAACAAATGATTATTATGTATTTAGAAAATAATGATACATCTGTTGGTAGTGTTTCCATTATTTTTCATAACTTCGATGCCGATTTTAACCCAATGAATTCGTCAATACTATTTTCCATCTTTTCAATTATAGTACATTACTATGAATAGTAATGTTATACGGAATTATAACATTTTTCTTATAATATTTTATCGTGTTTTATATTTGACACACAAGTTTCATCGCAAGGGATATATATTACAGAGTTTAGTTTCGTAAAAGTTTGATTTTCTGAACGCCGGAAGACTCTTTCTCGTCGCATTAAGATTCCTCGAGGAAAGAGGAAAAGAAAAAGAGTACAGCACTATATGAGTTAAGGACGGTATTTGCGGAAGGTGTTGGCGTTTGTCATACAGAAGAATTTCTTAGAAGAAGTAAACGTTCGTGAAAGTTGTACGAGAGATATATAGATAGATCTCACCTACGTTTTCAACTCACAACTTATACGCATAATTCTTTCTTCTTTACATCCCATTAAAATTCTTTATTTACAGAAATAATATATAATAATCTCTCCTTCCATTTTCTTTTATATAGACAAATTTACATTTGGAATCTTTCATTTGTTATTAATCAATAATATAATCAAGAGATCAAAATGAACAAAATTAAAATTTCAGCATAATTATTGGGCAGTTATGTGTGAGAAAGAAAAGAGGAAAGAAAAAAAAAGGAAGAGAGAAAGAAAAGAGACTGAGGTGGGAACCGGAAGTCGTCACCTATCTTTTATTTCCGTTCGTGGTTATCACACACAATGAAAAATGAATATAATACCTTATTGTATAGATAAGATAAATATTTGACAGTAGAGTCTCTCCGTATAACGCGTATAACGTGTCAAAGATATTGCAAATATTATTTTCATGTTACACGATTCTTCCTCGTACGACCCGAAATTTCTTCCTCGAACTCGAGTTTATAAAACGCAACATGTTAACCGCGCGTCATCAAATAAAAAATCTAACAAAGAATAATATCTAATTTCCTTCCCGAAATCTCTTAGAAGAAATCAAACTCACCGTGGCGCACGCGAAGATGATTTTGATCTTCATTTTCTATCTCTCTCTCGCTGTATCCTTTCGTATGACTTCCTCGTTCCTACGATGTTTGAATAAATCTCTGCATAATCGCTACTACTTCCTGACGTTGGTTCCATTCGAAGTCAACAACGACTTCGACTCATCTTCTCATCTTCTCATCGGATGAATTTTTCTTCTTCTTCTTATCTTCTTATATATAGGTAAAAACACTAGAAAAGCACTACAAGTCGCATCTATTCGAAAGAAGCCCGATAAAATAATCGATTGGAATCAATCAAATTTGGATCAATGGAAAGTTAATTTCGTTGAAAGTTCAAAATCAATTGTATTATTTGTATAAAGATGCTATTTTCCTCTCTTTCCCTCTCTTTCTTCTTATTAGAGCATACTATTATTCTCCTTTATATCACTTTACGATGATAAATCCGTTCTTAGTTTCTTACCGTCAGTCTTGGTGTTCATTTTTCAGTAATGTATTTCAGTAAGGAATACACGCAGCCCGCGTAAGTAGATAATATTAAAAATACATCTAGAAATATAAACTAAATCTCTATAAGTGGGCGTGAATCGTTGAATGGGGAAAACCCATTAATGATCAATATGTTTCGAGTACGACGATGAGGACGGTGCGTCGATTCATGTCGATATAGGATAGAAAGGAAAAAGGTAATTATTATTCGATTAATTTATCTATTGGCCAAATAATATTTCCAAGTAATACATGGAATAAAATAACAAAAGAATTTATCTTGCGAAGAATGAAGTAGAGCAAAGGATGATTGCCGCGGAACGAACTCACGCGTACGATGACCCACGTTCGAAAATATGAATTGCTTAAATGAATTTGCTTAAAGCAAATCGTTAATCGCAAGTCGTTAATCGCAAGTCGTTAATCGCAAGTCGTTAATCGCAAGTCGTTATCTCGCTTGTTTTGCCTTTCACACTTCACTTTTTACACTTTACACTTTTTCACCTAAATCCTTTTTTGACGATTGGCTAATGAGAGAGAGAGAGAGAGAGAGAGAGAGAGAGAGAGAACAGAAAGCTAATCCCGACTTTTGTTAATTTGGAGATAAACGAAATAGGATTAGATTTGTACTGTAGGATAATTTTCGTCGTCGTTGTTTGATTCGTCGATTCGTTCTTCTTGGCCGTTATTAGTCATCGAATAAAACGATTTACATGCATGAAGCGTACTCGGCTCTTTGCCGCGTCTTCTTCGTCAAGTCAACGATACGCGATCTTATGTCGTAGTAGGTTATTCTTTGTTAAAAGATTTCCAAATTGAAAAAACGTTAGGAAACGTTTGTAGAAACGGTAGGCGTTGATCAGCGAATCCGAATAATTCATCGATTAACTTAGCGAGTATTCTGATTGACTGACTTACTGACTGACTGACTGACTACCAGCGCGAGTGGACGATCATCGTACTCGTTACCCAAAGGATGCGGCGGAGGTGGGGACGAGTCTTCTGGAAAGGAGAGGAGGAGAGGACTCCCTACGTAAAAGCTGACTTTTCATATATACGAGAAAATAAAATGTCTTTCTTATTCCTATCCTTATATTTGGTATCTTATCTGTAAGATATCTATCGTAATTATATGTATGTCGAATGAAACGTATGCGTGCAACGTTTCAAATTTATCGACAAATTCGACTCGGGGGGAGATAATTATGCATCGGTCTTGATAACACCTCGATCTTTTCAAAACAACGGTATCGGGTTACTCTTGTTAATTGCGTCTTCTATAATATTAAAATAAATTTCCTTGAACGATCACTCTTGGAATCATTTCTCTCGATATTTCTTATGTTAGAAAATAAGAAAATAAAAACAAAAAGAAAAGAGACACAAATATGATATTTACGATTTACACGCATTTTTGTGTGGATTTTTCTAACGAACGAATCTAATTAATTAAATATTTTCCAAAATCGATTATATTTAACGATTATATTTATATATTATAAAAAAGATATTCAATCGATAGAAAAATAAACTATAACATGCAAAGCATGCTTCCTTAACGTAATTACATTGACTATTATTCGAAGGGCAATTACTTGATAAGTTTAGGACGAGCAACGAATATATCGTTAGCATGATCGATCATTAGTTCCAAGGATTCGTTCGCGATGATCTCAATCGATCGTTAATTGTCGGAAAGATCCATCGATACCAAAAATATCGTCGTGAGTCTTTGGTTTGCCTGGACGTAATGCTTCATTTGCTATGACTGATTCTTGTGCAGCGAACCACGGTCCGTATTCTTCTAATTTTTTAATCCAAGCGTCTATAAATGAAAATAAAACAAAGTAATCGAATAAAAAGGGGCAAAAAGATCAAGGAAAGATGCACATATATATATCTCGAATATTTCAATGAATATTGAAAATAATAATGTTGATAATAGCGTATACCATGTATCGGTTGAATAGGTCCAGCATCGCCACCGTATTCGGTAGGTAAAATTTCCCTAGGTACATACTCGTAAAGAGTTTCCATTTTGCTATGCGTAAAAATACGATTCCGTATCTTTTCCTTCAAAAAAGGTTTAACAAAGTTAACGATGGTATCGACGAACGGTGTGATATTCACTGCATGTATTTGCTTCAATTTCACAGGATATGCCTCTTGAACGCAAACGAGAAATTTCTTGATGAGCGTTGGAGTGAACTTGGCGAAATGTGCCGGTGTTGCAACGCTCGCATCAAAAATATAAATATCACCGGCTACACCGTGAAGTTCTTCTTTCAGACGAATATCTCCTATCATCATCACTAATTTCATTAAATTAGCTGCATTCGTTGGTATTATATCTTTCCTTTTTCCATTCATTATTATAACTCTACATCCGTCTTTCGTTAAGCCTGGCAATGGTGGAAAATGTCTGGAAATAATTATAATGTAAATAATTGTATTTGCCTCGTAAGAGAGAAAAGAGCATCGAGAAATGATCGGAATATTAAATGATCGGAATATTAAATATAATATATTGGTGAGTATTTACACTAGACTGGCTGGTGTTTTTAACTCCTGCTGCGTGATGTCGCGATTATCGAAGAACTCGGGAACAGCTCCTCGCATCGTGAAATACATGTCGAGTTTCCTTTTGCATTTTTCCAAAGAAAATTTACATCCACGGAGAAACGTCATTAACAATTGGTCGTCTAAGAAAAACAATAAATCAAATAAATATAATCAAAAGCGATTCTCCCTCTATTCGAGGTTTCTTTTTATGAATAACTTTTCGTCACAAGAAATATACTTTTATACCATCGATTTCAGGTAAATGTGGCTGTTTGGCTAGCCATTCCTTGATCATCTTCAAATCATTATCTCGAGTCGTTACATTTTCATTCAGTTGTGACCTAATTAATTTTGACATCTCATCCTTCGGTTGTATTAGTAACATCTGCGAAAAAAAGAGCATTTCTTGCGTTAGGATTATCGTTAATTGTAACTTATCTACGATATAAATGGATCTGGACATAAATGGATAATGGAAATACGGTAATAATATTGTAGTTATTTCCTCGACAGTAATACTAATCATTTTGAAACGAAAGTAGCCCTGACGTGACCTTGACGAAGCCCTGACGAGGCCTAGACGAGACCCTGACGAAATGATCTAACAAGATGTTTTTTTGAAAATAAATTCTTCGAAAAAGGCGAATGCCATTATATTTCGACACAGCTACGATTTTCAGCGATTTGGTTGCGCGCCATAATTTAACTAACATCAATTTATTCGCGCTTTATTGTTATAAGCGTAATGCGTAATAATATACTATAACATTGGTTGCGCAAGTGAGTACTATAACGCTTATGTGAGAAATTATTGCTGACCAAGTCAGCTTGCTCAACCCTAACTTTCTCCTGACTTGTCATGGCTCACGAAGTAGGAGACTTTTACTCTAACTAACTTCATTAAATGCACCTTTATATGTGCATATCTCTAATATGGGAAAACACGACAATTTTTGTTCTCCTCCTTTTAACTTTTGTTTTTCTTCTTTTCAAAATTAACGCAAACGTCGATTAAGAACTTGACCGAGATCTGACCAAGAGATTCTAATACCGCGTAAATCATTATTTTTGTTTTATTTCCGATGGCATATTGAATCATAGAGATCAACAAAAAGACGCTAATTTAAGATTTATGCGATTGAAAAATGTTTCCATTAGCGTTAAACAAATGTATCTGGCGTATTCATAGATGAAATGAAAGGTCGTCAAAAAATGTAATCTTGCCAAACTATTATAAATGATGAAATTTGAAATTAGGCAATAGAAAGGTATTCGAAAAATCTTTCATAGTTACGAAGAAAATGACCTATTTCCATTTACATTTTCGAGCGTATGCTTGGTAACTCATTTAGAATATAGATATTATTTACAGATCTATATTACATATAGATGTGTAATATATCAAAGATACTAAACGACGAGTAGTACTATCTACTCATTAATAATAGTAATTAAATGACTCGGTGAATGAAAATTCCATTAAAATAAATGATTAACATGTGCGTCATGCCTCGATAAAATAAAATATGCCTTTATAGTAAAAAATACTCACCTTTTATCTTGCGTATATACCGCGAGGTAACCGATATAACAGGAGCACTGACTTTCAAGCGTTTAGTTTGGGAAAGGGATTGAAAGAAATATGAGAATTCGTGGTGCTAGCACGTCCAAGAGATTCTATACGAACGACGGAGTAGGATAACCTAACTCTTGGACCGGTTCTCCTTTATATCGTGCTATACCCCACTCTTTCTCTCTACTTAACAACTCTCGATCCACGAGAGTTTTTCATTACGTTATCGTGCAATTAAAAAATGCTGTATTTACAATTTTTCTTTATTTCGATTCATTCATTTGGATTCATCGTTGGATTCCCTTCTCTCGAAAAGCCCGAAAAAAAAAACAAAAAACTCTGCAGCAGTATACAAATAATCCTATACTCGATTGGAATAAAACGAAATAATATTAATAATCAAATTATCGAATATATAAAAGAGAAGCAGTAGTGTACTAATAAAAGGTACCAATAAAGCTACTATTCTGATCGTTACTACAAACTCCGATGTAAATTCCTAATATCTAATATCAAAACTTTCAAGACATTTGAAAGACATTTTTTTCCAAACTAATTTTTTCTCTTATCTCTTATTAATTTTAACGTGTAATATATTTTGGATTTATTTATATAATACAATGCCAGCAAGTTGCAAGGCCAGGAATTATTGATACATTTGGAAAATTGATTGCATACGTAAGCTCGTTATTGCAATAGATTTCAAATATATAATCTTTATTATGTTTTTTACCACAGTAAAAATAAAACAATGTAGTGATAATAAGAAACATGTTGAAATAATTATTTGTTATATAAATAATTTCAAGGACATAGAGGCAACATTCTAATGAAATCAGGCGATCGGTTACAGATGATAAAGATAAATACCGTTGACGATAACTTGACATCGATACCAATCATCTTTTTTCCGTCATCTCTATCTATCTTTCTTTCTTAAATTACCATAACGATATGGTATAGAGTGTGCAATATATATTATAGTATAACGCAACGTCTTTCATTATATTTTTCATTACTTTCATTATTTTTTTTTTTTTTTATGAAAAAAGACGCGATGCACCCGTATTACGGGGTAGTTTTAAGGAACGTTTTCAATCACTTGGTATCTGTACCCAACTAACAGCATAATAAATGTCACTATTTGCACGATTCGCTTTATTTTCTTTCTACAAAATCATTGGATGATCGAGAATTTGGTCTTATTGTTAGTCAGAAAGGGGTTGCGTTAACTCGATATGACGAAAGGTGAATTCACGTGTGTAGAAAACCGTAAGATCGTAACGAGCGATTGTGTAATTGTATGAAATTGCTTTTAAGTGAGGTAACAAAAATAAAAAGTATTATGATATCGATGTTTATTTGCTTGCGTACATTGAACTCTTGGACGAATTACGGTAACGCTTCGATGTTATTCCTTAACATTTACTTGCAATCAGTTACAATATATATATTTATGTATATAATTATGTGTTGTAATGAATTATTTATTCAGAAAATTTCCCTTATACACATTTTCCCGCATACACTTTCCCGTTCGAAGCAACGCCAAATTTGTACAAAATAACTAAACATCGAGCCTTGAAAATGATTATTACCTTAACCTCATCTCTTCTATGACGAATTGAGAGTCATCAAAGCGATCAAATACATCAGCGTGCAAATAAACATATCAAATTTATTAAATGTGATATAAGACGTGCCCGATATGTCGATCTTTTTCGATAGAGTATCGTTTAAAAATCTCTTCGATATATTTTCCTATAAAAAGAAAATAAAAGAAAAGATAGAGATTATTAGAGATCGATATTATTATCTAAGCAATTTGGTTTGCATAATGGTATTAACATTTTCCGAAAATTGTGATCCACTCGTGTCTCGAACAATTCTAATTGGAATATCATGAAAATGTTGATTCGCATTGCGACAATCTTGCTTCTGACAAGAACGACTTAAGAGACTTTTAATGATATCTGCAAGTTCTTTAATCGTACGTATACGATCAAGAGTCGAAGCTTCTGGTCCATTGGCAAAATATGACGCATGCTTGATATCCTTCGAGCATAATTCTGTCACGACGACGAGCGTATCGGATGGAGAGATCTGAAATGAAAAACAAAACATCGTAAATAAAGCGTTCATTGTAAGGAAATAAGGAAAGAAAGATATTGACTTGGTAATGCAAGAGATCCATCACAGAGGTAAGCTCGTTTCCCGGGATTACAAGTGCCAGCATGTAACCTTTGTCACCTGAGACTATTTTTAGATTTTTCATTGTTCCATCGACCAAGTCAATATAATTCGTTGGTAAAGACGAAGATTCTTGAAAGGAAAACTCATCGTCCATTTTATTGGTGGATCCATTTAAAGAATCGATCATAGCACGAAATAAAGCTGTTTTAATCTTGGTAAATAAATCGAACACGTCCCATATATTGCCATTACTCGAAACATCTTTCTGATAATACTTTTCTAAATCCGTATAATTTCCTTTTTGCGAATCCAGCGAACGTAATGAATCATTACGTAGCGATTCACTCTTATAAACTCGTTCTACTTCGTTCGAGATGTTTTTGTTCGATTGACCTTTTTTCGCAATATTCGCAGCAGCTCCTTCGACATCGGATACGAAGGGAATGGAGAAATTGATAGCTGACAGAACACCTAAATTATGATATTTATAAATTATAATTATGATAACGTATCAATATAAATATGAAAGTATCGCGATTGAAAATAGTCACAATATTCGAATATTAAATGATTTCAATTGTGAAAAATCTACTATTAATTTTGACTTATACTCTTATCATAACCGGGGACAGCAGAAATATACGTATAACTTACTAATCGTCATATCTTTAACTCGACGAGCCCAAATCAATAATTCAGATACCCGTGAACGTAATGTTTGCTGACATTCGCATTCGTCCTCCTTTATTCCAGATATTCCCAGAAATTCGTTCAATTCTATTTTTACAGGTCCGTTCCCTTCCTGATTGTCGATCTAATCAAAATCAGTGGAAATAGTAATATTAGTAGGATAGTACATTGGTCATTTGAAATGATTTCAAATGTTCCTACTTCTAAATATCCGTGTACTGGAAACGAATGAATTTTCTCGAAATGATACCAAAACTCGTCTCTTATTTTTCCAGTCGTGTCAACGAGAGTCAAGACAACGTTTCTCAGAACGTTCTTGGACAAAGCCATGCTAGAGTTATGTTCCAAAAAACTAGTGTTAGGTTTAATCGCGAACAGTTCTTCCGAATTTTTTAAACTTGTCTCCAATATCTTTTTACGTTGAATTTCCTTCGCGTGGTTTATAGTCATTTTTTCGTCAGACTTTGTCCCCAATCTAGCCAATTTAGCCACACGCACGCTATCGTTGTTCAGTATACTTTTGTGAGACACATTTCCAACAGAATTTAACGATTCTTCTGGTATTGTCAAGAAGGATGGAATACCTAGTAAAAAATCTATTTCTATTGAATGAAGTTATTTGTTCTTCAGGGAAAAAAGTGCATACCTGAACGACCGATCAAAAAGCAACTGGATTGAGAAAATATTGTAAAAACTCCAACGAGACAAACTAATAATAAACTAATTCTCAACATTTTAGTTTGCGAATAAGATTTCTCAAAGTTTCATACAATTGTCAGCTTTTCTCTCTTATCTCCATATAAGAAAATCCAAAAGAACAACGTTAAAATAAGTCAATTCCAAGAGCAACGGACAAATGACTCGCATCGGAGTTAAATTATTTTGTTTTTCCTTTCATGATTTTCGTCAAAAGCAATATGGTATTTTCGATAAATCTCGCGTTCGATTAAAATCGATTTTTAAAAATTAATTTTATACTTTGTATTATTTTTTACAATTGATGAGATTTATTCGACAAAGGTAATTCTAAAGGTATGTTCTAACGAAGTATGCAAATATAATTAAGGATTTGTCATTGAAGTCAGTTGGTCGGTAGCCTAGCTTCGTAATAGTACATTAACCTAAATAATAAAACATGTTCAACTGTGTACACTAGAATGGGGGTTATTCTGTGGCTCTCTTTTAGTCGATACGATGACATATTTCATGCCAGTATTACTTAGGTCATTCGAATTATCGTATTTTCTCCTATTCGCGTATGATTATTTTCAGTTGAAAGTTTCCTATCGAAATTAGTAGTCCATTTAAGTAAAACCACTTAAATATATGTATTACTTAAATATTGCCCAAATATCTCGTTGGGATGCAAAGAAATATAAATATATTGAATTCCGAGTTATATCAAAGTTTGACGCATAACAATATTTTCCGTGACGAGTGTTAAAACTTGAAAGAAAAAGAGTTGTATAAGAAGAAAAAGAAGAAGAAGAAGTTGTATTTCGTTGGTTCCGATGAAAAGTCTACTCTCTCGACTTGAGTCGCATGAAATTTGAATTATTAAAACGTCTATAGAAGCTGCTACGACAATAAAAGAAACAACATGGTGTCAAGGGACGCTCCGCAGGGGTCGCTAGAACGTCTACGCCTGGTTACCGGCACGCGATTGGTCCACGTTTGGCGCTTTCAAGTTTGGAAGGGGTTTTCTTGGCTGTCGGTCGTATAGTTGCTCGTTGTGGGGAGCTTCATAGAAAGTAGAGGGAGAACTAAGGGAAAGAAAGAATAGAAAGAAGAGGGTGCCAAGTAAATCGCTTGCAGGTGATACAAGATTGACAACGCGTCCAAGACATAGTCGCAAGTCAAATAGTTCAATAGCGTAGTCCAATCGTTAGGCTAATAAAATAGCAACATTCCTTTTTTCGAGTGAATACTTTTGCGAAAATACTCTTCGCGATACTCCCAAATATTCCGGTGATCTCGTGTCTTATAACTGGTGTTGTTTTGCAATTTTTTCACCTGACTGGATAAAAACAGCCGTCAAGGTAAGCCATGATACTTGTCCAATCGCAACATGATCGATATAACGTTTCGCCCCTCTACGCCAGGATTTAAAATATTCAAACTTTGATCGTTGTTGTTGTTGTAGATGAAATTAAAACAACAAGGCTTGGTAGCGGATTTGTTGCCGAATATTCGTGTTATGCAATTCGGTGGACACTTTATGTTTAATTATGTTGAAAATTCGACAAAATTCATGCAGAAAATATATTGCTGTGTGAGTATACTAATAGAATTAGACTTAATTCCCGACGACATAGGTTTTCCATTCCAACAATCATCGATCGTTTTCTCAGGTTCATTTATTTTTGATGCTCCTCCAATTCGGTCTCGCTGGGGTAAATCTAGCCCTTGAGAGCGGCGATGTCGACGATCTCACAGCTAATACAATTACTTTACTCTTCTTCACGCATCCTGTGGTTAAAATAATATACTTCGCGGTCAGGAGCAAGCTATTTTATAGAGTACTGGCTATTTGGAATAATCCAAATAGTCATCCACTATTCGCCGAAAGCAATGCCAGGTATCACGCGATAGCATTGAAAAAAATGAGAACTTTGCTCTTCGCTGTTGGAGCAACAACGGTCTTTTCAGTTTTTGCCTGGACTGGTATTACGTTCGTCGGTGATTCTGTAAAAAAAGTCACGGATCCTGAAACTAATGAGACCACTTTAATGGAGGTAATTAACACTTGTTTTCCTTGATTCGTATTGACCTTTGGTTTTTTTTTTTTTTTTAATTTGGCTTGACTTACGATTATACAGATTCCTCGATTGATGCTTCGTTCTTGGTATCCTTACGATCCGAGCCATGGCATGTCACACGTCATGACCCTGGTCTATCAATTCTACTGGTTATTCTTTACCATGATGAACTCGAATTCTCTCGACGTTCTTTTTTGTTCGTGGCTCCTGTTTGCCTGCGAACAATTACAACATCTCAAGCAAATTATGAAACCTCTGATGGAATTAAGCGCAACTCTCGACACGGTTGTACCAAACAGTAGCGAATTGTTCAAGGTATGAAAAAGATCTATCCGTTAATATATGAATATTTATTATTGACTGAACCTGTCAGTGAATTGATACGCGTCGAAATTCAAGGCTGGAAGTGCCGAGCATCTGAGAGATACGCAAGGTACTCAACCGCCCCCGCAACCTCCGCCAGGCGGTGAAAGTATGCTGGATCTTGACCTCCGTGGTATATACAGCAATCGACAAGACTTTACGGCGACCTTCCGACCAACGGCAGGAATGACGTTCAATGGTGGCGTAGGACCGAATGGATTGACCAAGAAACAAGAAATGCTCGTTAGAAGTGCTATCAAGTATTGGGTGGAAAGGCACAAACACGTCGTTAGGTGAGTTCAACTAACAAACGATATTCATTTGCATAGAAAATAATATATCGCGATAGGTAAGATTCCTCTTAAAACTCGGATTAACTACGGATTACCTAATAATGTCTAATTTATGCATATGTGTGAATGTATATTTAATTTTTAAAAAAGCTAAGAGCTGATCCTCCACAGTTCTTTCGTGGTCGGAACATTTACGTGTCGGGTGTTCGATGAATGCATGGTTTGCACCTTTTCCCACGAGACTATTAAGTATTTATTCTAAAACAGCGCGTTATTGACCGCAACGCGGGACGTGCCCTACAGGCTGAACAATTCGTTGGACAATTCACGGGGTCTCTGTCTCTGTCTCTGTCTCTGTGTGTGTGTGTGTGTGTGTGTGTGTGTCTCTCTCTCTCTCTCTCTCTCTCTCTCTCTCTCTCTCTCTCTCTCCCTGTCTCTCTGTGTGTGTATAGTTCATAGAGTACGCACGCATATACTTACACTCTCGGTAAGGTTTCATCGACGTTAGCAGTCAAGTTAGTTGGAAACGTAGCCCCAACTTCTGATGACTAACTTAAGTAAAAACATTTTTTGTTCTTGAACATGGTTTTAAAGTTCGAGGACTCGATTAAATGCCTACTTATTATTTCAACAATTCGATTATCTTTCTATTTGAATTCATCGAAAATCTTGATGCTATTCATTTATCTAATCACAAATAGGAATGTTGAGCGAAGCATTCATTTTTCATGCTCGCGGACGAGGAGCATTAATAATTAATCAAATGAAAAGAATTAAGAGAAATATATCTCGACTTTTTTCTTACAATATTTCATTTGGAAAGAAAGCTACGTTCTTTTGCGCTCCTAACCGACGACACAGTCAATGCAAATGAGGAAAAAATAATGATGAGAGAAGATCGAATAAGGCGTTCCCCGTTCTTTAGCCTTAGTTGCGCATACATTTAATGTATACCATATGGTCGGATATCTGGGTCAAATTAAAACTTGGTTGGGGTATTCTCAAGTATACGGAGACTATACTGGTAAAAAGTCAGTAGCTAAGAAAATCGAACGACATTCTTTCGATCTTTTTTTATTCATCTTTTAAAGCTCTGTATCGAACGCTCTCGTACATAGGAAAATTTGTTTATATGTTTATTTGTATCATTCTACATTTACCTCGTGTAACTTGACTATTTCTTATATACGTCAGATTGGTTACCGCGATCGGAGATGCTTACGGTATAGCTTTACTACTTCACATGTTAACAACGACCATCACGTTGACGCTTCTCGCATATCAAGCTACCAAGGTAAACTTTGACGATCGATAGATAATTAACCGTATTACGACACTTATCGGCTTTTTTCTATTATCGCTGTCGTTTTTTGTCAAATTGTTTTTCAGGTAAACGCCGTTGACGTCTATTCAGCCACGGTAATCGGTTATCTCTTATACACTCTCGGCCAAGTCTTTTTATTCTGCATATTCGGTAATCGTTTGATAGAAGAGGTACGCTTTTTCAATTGTACTTAGCAAATTGAAGAAATTCAATTGTCATATTATACATAAATGTTTAATCTCTACCACAGAGTTCATCCGTTATGGAAGCTGCTTATTCCTGTCACTGGTACGATGGCTCCGAAGAGGCCAAAACTTTCGTCCAAATCGTTTGTCAACAATGTCAAAAAGCAATGTCCATCTCCGGAGCTAAATTTTTCACCGTCTCTCTGGATCTTTTCGCTTCCGTAAGATGCAAACTAGCTGCATTCCCTTTTTTATTCTTTTCAATTCTCTGTTATATTTATGATAACGAGAGATTTATGGTCTTTTCCATGTCTTTCTAGGTATTGGGAGCTGTCGTGACTTACTTCATGGTGTTGGTACAGCTCAATTGAACGATCGATGATTATCTTATTGTAACTACATATTTCAATTTTCCGAAAGGACCAAAATTCTAATTTGTCGCGGCCAAAATAAGAAGAATTCTTATTTTCTTGAAAAATCTTACATTATCTTTAATAGAAATAATACTCTCTGTGCTGCATTTAGCTTACGTAAGAGAAATGTTGAAAAAAAAAGAAAAAGAAAAGGGGGAAAAATATTACGCTAAAATCACCGGAAATAAGTGTCAGTTTGTTGGACGATACGAGACACGAAGGAATCTTTAGTGTACTTTTGTCAAGAAACATTGTTTTAATCGACTAGAAATATCAGACAATAGTATATCATCAATATAAAAGAAAAATTCTGTGATTTGCTTATCCATTTGAAAATCTCGTTAAGAAAAAGAACGAAGATGCAAGACGAATTTCTTATATCAAAATATGTATAACGAACGATCGATCGATCAATTTGCATTTTTGTTCTATTCATACGACGTCGGTGTACACCGAGTGTATAGATAGGAAGATAAATGGATTTTACGTATACGTAAAATAAATAATATCCAGATAATAATTTGTAATAATACAGTACAATAACAATTCTCATTGAATCGGACTAGTTTTCGATTAAATAGGATTAACAAATTACATAGATGTTTTAATGATAATTTTCATATTTCTCTATAACTTGCACGATTAATATTAACTCGTGTAGAGAGAGAGAAAGAGAGAGGGAATTAAAAATCAAAAAGTTTATCTACTATTATTACTGTTACTAAATATTTACTCTCTGCGATGAGAATTAGAGGTTCGTTCGTTTTGTTTCTATTAATAGAAAACTTACAACATACACGTACAATTAAATCGCGCGATTTAATATATAACGTATCGATAGACATATATCCTTAAATATTTAATGAACGTTCAGTATTACAGAATTGTCATTTGTGTAAAAGTGTAATTATATTTATCTAATAAAAATCTTTCCAAACGACGATTCGAGAAAGTTTTGATCTCGTTCGTTGTAATTATTGAATATAAATAAAATTGGCGCGAATGTGGGTGCACGCATGCGCAGAATAAGAGTGACTCGGTCGAAGGGTAGTTTCGATCGTTTCGAAAGTACCCCTTGCGTTCGTCCTCGTCGTCGATGTCTCGTTGAATGGGTTTCTCGTGCGTGATGCTGGTGGCGGTGGTTGTGGTGGTGGTGCTGCTGCTGCTGCTACTGGTGGCTGTGCTTGGTCCAGCTCATCTTCTTTCCAATTCCCATTCGTTCTTAATTCGTCTTACGTCTATCGAATCGTCATTCCTTTGTGTGATCAAACGACAAAAGTGAAATACCCAGGAATCTGAACGGTACGAAAGAAAAAACTCGCAGCTTATTACCAGAATGCCGCAACTCATTTCTAAGCGACGAAAACATTTTCTTTGGGAAATCGTTCAACGATATTTTTCAACGAGTTATTTAACAATAAACGACGAACAATAAACGACGAACAATAAACGAGAAACAATAAACGAGAAACAATAAACGAGAAACAATAAACGAGGCGAGAAAGGAGGGAAGAGAAGAAAAAGACAAATAAAAGGAACAAGAGAGAGAGACGGGCAGAGGGTGGGAGGGAGATACATAAGATCGCTCTGAAATTGACGAGGCTACGCGTCAGGGGTATTCCTGTATAATTATCAAATCATTTCTACGCGTTGATCTCGTATACGAACTGCAAACTGCGCACACACAATCAATTATTATAATTCGTCTTTCTTACAATATTTTTCATTCGTCTTATCTCGTGTTGTATGGTGCTTGCATATAGTTTATAGAACATTGTTATCGCGTCACGGTAAATAAGATAAACTTAGCTTCTACAATTACGAAGCGTTGAACTTGTCAAGTAATTCGAGCGAATAGTGAAAAAGGCTGGCAAATGATCTCGCGTTTCTCCCTCCCCCCACCCCACACCCCTACCAACATCTTCAGCCCTTTGTCTTTCTACAGTCTTTCAAAGGGAAGGAGATCTATTTTCTTCAATTAATGAATAAAGAACGTTAGTACATTTTTCTTATATATCGTGATCGACAATAAAAAATGCAACGGAACTTATCATCGTAAATCATTTGAATGAAATTCGAATAAACAAACATAATTCAGGGTTATGCATAAACAAGGTAGTACAAAGAAATGAAAAAAATGCAAAGTTCATTAATCGACGTAACTTCTTCGACTCAAGTTTCTTCTTTTATCGAGAAGCAGGTGTGATATATTGTTGTTAAAATAACTATAAAGAAAAATAAAAGCAAATTTAATAATCATAAACGGAGATTCGATAAGAGCCAGCAAAGTTTTGGGTGCACCAAAGTTGAATCATCGTTGCACGAGATTCGATTAAGGTGGAGAAGGAAGAGTAAGAGCTAGCAGATCTATAAAGGTCTATCTATAAACCCATTCTCAAGATCCATCTTTAACCATAGGGACAAAAACTGCGAGCGGCAGACGGAGGCGAAGCCTCCCGCCGCCCAAAAAATGCCGTAAGTATCAATCATTGTCAATGTTTATGCAAATAGGTATCTTTTAGATTTCAATACAAATTTCTTATCTTATAATAGAATTTTCCATTTTATGCATAATCCTTTGCTTGCGTGAGTTTGCTTTTGCTATCCCAATTAATTCATTTTGGATTTCAACTAAATTCTATCTAGATAACTGTTTTATATTTTCAAACGTTTATAAGAGAAAATATCAACGGAAAATAAATAACATTAAGCTCATAATTTATTGGAACGTAAACAACAATCTATTTAAAATAATTTTGAAAAGTAAATAGTATTATACTGCACCTATAATACATGTATATTATGAATATTGTATAACATTATACGTGATATACCTATAAACATTTCGCGCGTATTTCTATTTTAATTATGTTTTTAAACGTCATTTTACGTTTCTTGCACGTTTATTTTCTACGCGTAAAAATTGATAATATAAATGAATTATAATATCCAAGGTACTTTAATTTCACTTATATTCTATTGTTGTTCTCTTTCTATTTACGATACAACAAAATGATCAATGCGTTACAGCCAAGATTTTTCATAACAACTCCGATTATATATAAGTAAAGAAGACTGTATTGGAAAGTAGACGATATTATTGTAACTAACGATCATTGTAACTAAAATCTTTCGTTGTACACGCGTCTAGAAAGTTAAAAGAAATTCCTTGAAATAACTTTTTAGGCTTTACTACTTCTTTACCGTAATATGTTCATTTTATAAGGAATCTAGATAACAAGATCACTTATATAAATGATCCCTTTTTAAATTTATCATTTTCAATCTTTGTGTCTAGAATATTTAATGAAAAATCAAATTTCCAAAAAAGATTTGCGATGTTGTTTTTCTATTTTTTCAGTATTCCGATCGACCAAATTATCCGTTTCTGATCATATGAATATAGTTCGTATTGAAAAGGATAAAAATGAAGTCCTAACGGTTAGTTAATTAGTATTGTCGTTTTGCTCTCCCTGTCTGAGTCTCCAGAGTTGAATCAGTCGAGCCGCGAACCTCGACCGCGATGGTCACCAGGATACCGTCACCGAAATACCGTCACCGAAATACCGTCACCGAAATACCGTCACCGAAATACCGTCACCGGAAAACTCTTCAAAGTTTCCTATTTAAATGGAAAATATTGAATAATTATATACATACCTATTTACTAATTCGTTCTAATGGATCAACTGAAAAAAGAAAACGAACTTTTTTCTAAATCGTTTCTCAACGCTAATGAGAAACTTCTCGGTAAAAGAATTTCTACGAAAGAAAAGAGTGATCAAACACTTTTATTTATTTATTTATTCGCTCCTTCATTAGTTCACTTTTGTTCGTGTATTTATTTATTCTTTGCAATTAAACGTATTGAAAAATCTAATGGTAATCTCGTTTGATCTCATGGATGATTTTTTAATCAAATATCCAAATACTCGTATATCATTAAATAGAACAAATCAAAACTATAAAAATATAAACAAATGAACTTTTCAACCTAATTGCCTAATGGCGCCATTTCAATAATCTCAAGCGAATATGTAAATTAGATATAAATTTTGAATACAAGCTCGTAAAAGAGTTTTAACCTAAACTCGTGCAATTCTGTCACGATAAACTTCAATATAAATCATATCTGTACGTTCAATCGTAAACTTCCTAAATGTGTATGATTTATATAAATAGGTGTCAAATAAATTGATCGCGATATATTGTGAAGAAGTTTCGTTTATAGTACTTTTAAGTTATTCAATAAATTCAAATGATTTCAATGAAAATATTTGATCATACAAATTGTATATGATATTTTGAATATTTAACCAATTTCTTTCGCAGAACTGGATCTAGATTATTTGGAGAGGAGGGGCGGTGAGACAATAAGCTGCGAAAACGTGGAAAGCGGATCGAAAGAGGAGGAAAGCCCGGCAGACAGTCTGGATCGAGTTAAGGTCGTTTTCCTCGGGGCACCTGGCGTGGGAAAGTCCAGTATAATTCGTGTGAGCTTTCCTCTCTAATTGACATACAATATTTTCTTCTTCTACGATAAATGTCTAATCAAAGAAGAAAAAGTATTCCGTTGAATGACCGTGTTCGCGGTGAGAAATAAAGAAAAGATGACGAAGACAAGATAAGAGTTTGCAAGATACGAATGAATTCTGTTCATTTCCGGATGTCATTTCCGGATGTCATTTCCGGATGTCATTTCCGGAGGTCATTTCCGTCGGATGCAAGTGTCGAGCTCGAAGGAAATAGAAGGACGAAATGAAGAAAAAGAGAATAAGCGTCGGTTAACGCGGCTAAAAGCTTTCCTTTTATTTCTATATTTTATTTGTTCTTACATCTATTAGATGAAATTATATATTATGTCTCAAAGCTCTAACAGATATTTTCTTATATTCGCTTCAGCAATTCGTTTGGAGCGAATTCTCCGAGGAATACAGGCAAACTGAAAAACGTGAGACGTTTTACCCGAGCGTTGTACTGGCCGATCGATTGTACGAATTGAAAATCACAGATCTACCTACGATTCCGTTCTTTCCCGTCAGTTCGCACCTGGAATGGACGGATTTCCGTTATTATGGTCTACGGAGCGCTACCGCCTACGTTCTCGTATTCGATCTGAGCAATCAGGAGACCTTCCAAGTACGTATAACCGATCATTATTAATGATAAAAATACTCTCTAAGGAAAATTCAAATTTAGCAATATTTCTAATTAGAATGAAAATAATATTACATTGTTCCGTCTCAGTACATCAGAAAATTACGCGAGCAGATCTACGAGGCGAGGGACATGAGAGGTGTACCTCTTTTAGTGGTCGGCAATAAACAAGATGCGCTCTCGAGCACCGTAGCTTCCGGTACAAGGTACAGGGATATCGTCAATCTCGTACGAAAACATTGGAGATGCGGTTACGTCGAGTGCAGCGCAAGATTCAACTGTCGCGTCGTACAGGTCTTATTTTTCCTCTTCGAAACGTTCTCTATATGCTTTACTAAATCTACTAAATAGAACATTTCATTTGAAAATGTCATCTTGTACTTTGCTTTGACAGGTTTTTCGAGAATTAATGAAGAGTATTCAAGCCGTAGAAGGAAGACCGCCATCGCCGATACCTGCACCCTCGTCCCAGCCTTTGCGTTCTCATCAACATGACAACACCGAAAAATGTATTCTTCTCTGACACTGAGATCACGTAATGGACGTACTCGATCTTTGCGATCGCATTTTAGGGAAAAACTGCTTCTTCTCCGACTCGAAGAAGAATTCGCATTGATTTCTTTTTTTATGATTTTCGCATTTCTCCTAGTTTTCATTATTTCATTGCGAATAAACTTCTCGTCAACTTGTTTATCGTCAAACTCAATTGTCTTGGATTGATTGGTCCATATCGGTGGACCAATTGTAAATTGGCTAAATATTGTTTTTCCTTTTCTTTCTTTCTTTCTTACTTCATATTACTCGAGCGTGTGATATCGTTGTGATAATCTAACATTTCATGGTGCATGAATAATACAAGGTACTCGATCGTCAATTGAAAATATAAGAAATCGTTTTGTTTCTTGCGAGAACCAAATTAAACGATGCATCGTATTATAATCTGACGTTAGAATTTTCATACGTAGAGGGAAAAGAAAAAAAAAAAAAGAAAGAAAGAAAAAGAGAAAGAAGGAGAGGAAAAAAAGATACATAATAGATAAGAAACAACGATAGAGTACGTACTAATAATCAAAAATTGTACAATTGAAAATGAACGTGCGTGTAAGCGTGTAAACGATTCGATTAAACCAATACCAATATCCAAATAGGTGACGACGATACACAGAATGAGTCAAAGCTTTCCAAGTGATTTTCTCAATCGATTACTTTTAAAAATGATTTCTTCAATCGAAACTTTTTAAACGAATTTTTTTCAGATTGTAAAATAGTTCCTAGACTTGTAGTTTTATAATCTGAAAAAAAAATAAATCACCCTGTAAAACGCGTGCGATTAATCCTTGTGATTAGATAAACACACACAGACAAGAAGCAAAAACGTTCACGTATACATGCACGAACGTGATTCGAATAAATGTTAGGCAATTTTGAGAGAATTTTGAGAGAATTTTTTGTTGACCGGATGCTAAGCAATGTGTACACGAATCATTTTATAAAGCTTACTCGAGTTGGTCTGTCTGCTGCTGGTAGACCTTTGCGTTAGCTCGAATTGTGAAACGTAATGTTCGAAACGTAGAAGCTCATTACACAAATACATACGAAAGAATATAAAAGGAAGGGAAAAAAAGAAAAAAAATAAAAGAAAAAAAAAGAAGAATATATTAAAAAATTATATAACTGCCGAAATCTGTAAACGCGCACGAGATTTAACAATAGCGATCAATTAATCTCACCACATTGTAGGTAATTCCAAATCCTTTGATTTGCGGCCTAATAATATTGTATCAGGAATGGGCTGTCGGGAGTTACCTCACAAAAGCAATAGTATACACATCTATTTTTAAAAATAATTACTTTTAAGAAAATTAATCATTAGTTTGTAAGAGATGGAAAAAAAAAGTAAAAGAAACGTAGCAGTTCTGACGTCGTTTACGTTCGCGGACATTGAATAAATGTGTATGTATATATATATACATATATATATATATATATATATCTACAAATATATGCATATACGGTGCATGTGTTAATAAATATCGTTGTTATATACGTATGTATATATACGTAAAATATGAATATGAAGAAGAAATTTATATTTTAGCTTCTAAGGATAAAATGAGTGAGTTTACTTCGTGATATACATATATATCGTTGTTTATTGGTTCCGGTTATTCCATCGGATTGTTGTTTAAAACAATTTACGCAACGTATGTATGTCACATACACGCTGCACAACGACACGACGCGTAAATCAATTACTGATAGATGTGTGCATATGTGTGTATATATGTGTACATACATGCGTGTATGTATGTATACACATATGAGATACAAAAGAGACGTGTGTTCGTTGAAAATCTTTGTACCCAGGAGAGAGAAGTGTTACTTTATGTGTAAAACGTGACTCTTTATTTTCTCTATTCTGAAGTCGTACAATAAAAGATTCCAAGGAGAATCGTTTTTGTTGTTGTTGTAATAGAATTTCTCTCATTTAATCGAGATATCCTCCTATCGTTTGTCGCGCATATAGTTTCTACTTTGTTTTCTGGCATAATCATGGCCGAGCGATGGAGTCAAAAATTATCCAAATTATCGTAATATAATTAAATCGTTCAGTATATTCGCGCCGAAAATAAATTTCTACGTTTAAGATTGTTTAGCTATGTTTGAACTATCGACAAAAAATCCGACAATAAAATGTTCGTGAAAAATTATCGATATCAAATTGTATCGAATAGTCAAAAAAGAGGTTACAGAAATACTACCATTCATAAATCTAATTTCAATATAGGCCAACGATATTTGCTTAAGGTTTCATCATAATCACTATCCTACGTTATTGTCTATATGAGAATTGTTGGAAATATAAAAAGGGATTTTTTGAACGAAGGTCAGCACAACGAGAGGCATCCCGAGTACGAGTACGAATTTGAAAGAAGCTCTTTGCGAAAAGATTCCGATTCACTATGATCTCCTTAGAAATTTTCGAAAAGAACACGGTCAATCCGTGATCAGTCGTATTACTGTGAACAATATATATGACGGTCTTCAAGGCGTCAACATGATGGTCAGGGAAACATCAGAAAATGATCCCAAGTATGGGGTAATGATAATTACTTACAATTAGTCTCTCTCCATAAAACAAAAATTACTTCCCAGAAAGGAAATGATATTTCTTATAAATGATAAACGCGTTTATTAGATCAGGTACCGTGGATTGACTATCCCAGAAGTTTTAAACCTCCTTCCACGTCGAGGAACGTCTCCAAGCGTCGAAGCTGTTTTTTGGTTACTCTTAACCGGCGACGTACCGACTCAAGAACAAACAACTTCGTTGATCAATGATTGGTCATCTCGACGACAAAGAAGAAAGGAATGGTGGTCAGGACCAAGCGGTGGAATCGTTGGTTCCGTTCTTCAAAACTTACCAGACAATGTGACACCATTGGGAAGACTCTCGATCGCCTTGACTATCCTTCAAACGAATAAATATACTAAAAAAGCCCTCGAGAATGGAGCTCTGAGTCATACCCATTGGGAGGTAATAAACAACGTTCTTTCTTTCAATATTATTTCGATTTTGAAAGTTGGACTCGTTGGTCGTTGTTGTAACGAGTCTTTCGAAGAATGTCAAATGTGATAACTTTTCGATATGTAAAACCTCTAAGCACTTTCTCTTTTATTTCTAACAATAAGCATATTTACGAGGACAGTATGGAACTATTAGCAGCGTTACCAGCCATCATCGGCCTCGTTGGCAAAGGTCGAGAGTTGAGAAACGTGACGGAAAAAGGTGACTGGATAGATTTTCTTTTACAATGTTTGAGCAATACTTCGGAGGATTTGAAAGGCAGAACAACGTCTCTTGGAGATTTTCTTCGTTTATACGTCAGCTTAAATGCGTACGTTTTTATAATTAAATATGTATTATTGATACATTCGAAGATGTAAACGCGCATTTAATATGATCTATAACTAAATCAAATAGTATTTCAGATAACTAATGAAATTTCGCTAAATATAATTATATAATATTTTTCCTTTTCAAAAGTAAAATATATTTTATTATCCAAAATATGGCTGCAATAACATTTATTGATAGTTACGTTTTAACAACAATTCTTTATTTAGCGACGAAGATGGTGGTGTACCTGGTGTTCATATAACACAAATTTCTGGAGCTTCGTATCTCGATATTAGTCAAGCATTATCTTCAGGAGTTTTGCTTTATGAAAATGAACCGATTACAGGAACGATGTCTCAGGTAAATCACAACTAACGTTGCACCGATATACTTAACACATCATATTTTTATATCACTATAGTACATGGAATTTCAAGAAAAAATAAAAAGCGCTTTGGGTACCGAACCTAAGGAAGAAATGTTACAACATTTTTTGCTTTCTTTCATCGAAGAAAATAAGTTGATTGGATACAAAGAAACTCAATTTCTCGATCCACGTTACGCGGCACTTTTAAATCATGTTAAAACGTATTTGCCTGGTAATACAGAAATAGAGGCGAGTTATCAATATAAGTTCGATAATAATTTATGAAATGATTGTGAACGATTTATTGACAATTTTCATTAAATTCAGCTTTCTCAAGAGATTACACGAGTTTTGGCATTTCTCATGAAAAATACGAAAAACAAAACTATCTTTCCAGAGCAAACCACCATTGCTGGTCCGATATTCCAGGTAATTTTTAATATTCCACGAAATTTCTTTTCCTCGTTATTATAAGTAAATGATAATATAATAACTAAATAATCTTTCCAAAGTTTTATGGATTGAAAGATATGAAATTTAATCAAGTATTACTCTGCATGTCTCGAGCACTGGGAGCAATTGCTTCCATCATTTGGACTAGAGCGATCAATGCACCGGTTGAACAGCCAAAATCAAACAGCACTTATACATATTTTTATTCACTTCGAAATATTCGTAACAAAATGAAGAAAAGAATTCGAATATTAAACAAATACCGAAAATAACTTCATAGAAAAAGTAAGTTATTGTAAATATTTCTTAAACGAAATCTTTGTACGCATACATATCAATGTAAATATACATTTTCGTGATCGAAAGAATACAAATTTAATGTATTTTAATAATGAAATAATGTTCAAAGTTGTCTGTACATTCGTATTCGTTTAAAATTATAATTACAATATGGCTACTCCCGCCAAAAAAACATTCTCATAATCTATAGACGCTTCGTTTATGACGCGCAAGTTATGTGTATATATACACTTGTGTCCACAGCAAAATAACAATCCGTTTTAAACTATAAACTTTCACTTCAAAACTCGCACGGTCTTTAAGATACACAAGTGACGTGATTGCGTGTGTTACGAAATATTGGAAATTTATATTACCGGAGAAAAATACAGCAAAATTATCTGTTAATTTTGATTATTAATTTACAAGCAATCAAAAATGTTGTTTCATTTTAAATAGTTACAAATATTAATCTTTATATTTATTACATAATATTTTATTACAAGGATCAAAGATTGAAAAAGTTTAAGAATTAATGCAAAAATATGTTTAAAATTTGACTTTGAAATGTAACTTCTTATCTTCATCTTTCTAATATCATTTTAAAAAATATTCCATTAAAAATATATGATGACAGAAAAAGAGAGATTAGCAATTTTACAAAATAGACTTATTAGGTTTAAAACGAATACCACTGAAACAAATCAAGTGGAAAATTTGACAAATTCAGCACCTGAATGTACAACTAATACTCCAACGTTTGATTCTGACACAAGGTTACCTCAACATTCCAGAATTTTGACCAATTTATCTTCCTCTGTTCAAGTAATTAAACTTTTCATAAAACAGGCATAGTGTATGTTATACATGTAAAAATTGTATTATATTTAATTACAAGTAAGGGTATTACATTATTTAATTAATTTGATTTCTTTTTTTTGTTTTTCTTTATAGAGAAGCTACACTGCATTTAGTTCTCTAGTAAATTTGCCAAGGCTTCAAAATCAAACAAGAGCCATTCTTAGTTCGACAAGTAATTATAATGTTTATGATCAAACAATGAACAATATTATTATGCGCAATCAACAACCCACAAACTATAATCATAGTCATCATCATCATCATCATCATCATCATCATCATCATCATCATCACCATCATCGTCATACTAAAAATGATAATTCTTTAAATAATATGCATGAAGCAACAAATGAAGTGACAACAGAAGCATACAATAATATTAATAATAGAAGAGCTCAAAATGGGCTCGAAAGAAGTCCGGAGACAGTAGAATTACTAAATCTGTTGCAAACATATTTCCCTTATATTTTAATCCTTTTAGTTAAGGGCGCATATGATCAACGAATAGGAATAATTAATATTGCTTTATTGCTCGTAACTTTCTTATATACCAATAATGATCTTAAGAACGAAATTGCCAAACAACAGAACAGAAGTTGGTTTTTTTTATTATTAATTATGTGCTTTATAGCAGGTTGTTTATTCGTCTTAAATGTTATTTTTGATATAAATGTATCTACGACTCAACCTCTTTCACTCTCAGAGCTTGTATGGTCAGTAATTGCAACAGATTTTATAATAAAATTGATTACTGTTGCTTTTAAAGTGATTTTAACTTGTTTACCTATAAGACTACTAGCGTGTCACAAACGTGTAAGTATTTCATGTACGTATATATTACAAAATTTTTTAAACACATATATAAACCAAATTATTAATAATAAATATTTATCTAGGGAAAATATTATGTGATGATAGAAGTTACATCTCAACTTTGTCGTCGTTTTGCACCAATTCAACCATGGATATATTATTTGAATGAAGCATATCAAGGTCCAGAAAAAGTAGTAGGACTAGTCTTAACTGCAATATATACTATCAATAAAATAAATAATTTAATAGAATTTTCAAAATTCTTTCTTAAAACATTATGGAGGTTTATAGAGGATGAGGTACGTTGTTAATTTTGGTTGCAGATAAATTTATTAAGTAAAATTCTATAATTATATATTTCGTTTAGAGGTTAGGATCAAATCCATCTGCAGAACAATTAATAAATTCTGGTGGAATATGTGCAATATGTCGTGAAGAATACAAAGTACCAATTATTCTAAAATGTCAACATATTTTCTGCGAAATTTGCGTGTTAACATGGCTATCTACGGGAAGATTATGTCCAATGTGTCGTGCACCAATTACAGATGATGCAATTTACCATAACGGTCATACAACATTGTTTGTTCAATTGTACTGAATAATGGATTGTTATATAAATTACAAGATCAAATTTATCACCTTGTTTCTGAAGAAGGTCCACGTGAAATTTATTTTTTTATCAATTAACTTTTTGTAAATTTTTAAATATATATAACACATAAATATTTGGTA